TGTTCTTCTCAGCCTAGAACATTAAACCTCAGTTGTCTCCGACACCTACGCCAGCTGTGATGCCACATTCTTTTTTAATCGCTCGGTTCTCTGTGTCAGTCCGTCCTTTGAAAGGGATGACATCCGAGCATCACCTTCAGGTGGGACATAGGGATCAAATATACCAGCTGAAAGGAAAGAAGGGAATTAAAAATCTGTTGGAAGATTGAGAAAACATCGCCTTGAGGGCAGCTAACACTAGAAAGAACACAGGATTTTTTTTTAATAATTCATTTTAACTTTATTTTATGTGCATTGGTGTAAAGCTACAGGCAGTTGTGAGTAGCCATGGGGGTGCTGGAAATTGAACCCAGGTCCTCCGGAAGAGCAGCCAGTGCTCTTAACCATTGAGTCATCTCTCAGTCCCCAGGACACAGGATATTAAGCAGCCTAATCAGACTTGCACATAGAGGCAATCTTGTCATACTTGTGTAAGTACCGGGAACTGTTTGCACTACTGGGACATCTCTAGATAAAAAAGAAAGAATAATGAACTCCTTCTAGAGTCTGTCTCTGCTTTGACAAACCGAAGAACTTACACTCTTCCTAGAAGTTGTGTGAGAGTAAGAACAAAGCAGGACCACATACACAGGACTAGTACTGTAGCCCTAAGTCACCCTTACTATTCAGGCAGGAGGATCACAAACTCTAGTCCACTCTGACAAACTTAGAAAGATTCTGTCTCAAAGGCAAAAAGAAAGGGAGGCTAGGGATATAACTCAGTGGTACAGTACTTGTTTAGCATGTATGAAGCCCTGTATTTAATCCCAAGAACTGTAAAAACAAAATAAAACTGACTTTATGAACTATAGTATATATAAAGTTAATCATTACTGAAGTTGAACCTAGTGGGTAATTTAATGATGTCATCAGAGGTGGTGGGTGGCAAATGCCTTTAATCCCAACACTCGGGAGGCAGGGGCAGATGGATCTCTGAGTTTGAAGACAGCCTGGTCTACAGTGCCCGTGCCAAGGCTACACAGAGAAAGCCTGTCTCAAAAAGGGGGGGGAGGACTTTAATGCTGTCAATCAGAGTCAAAGGCATTCTAAGGACCAGATATCTGACCGTAGAGGATTGAGTTAGGAGCCCAGAAATATTATTCCTCACCTGTACAGGCCAGATGTATAGGACGCTCCATCTTTTCCGGAGGAATAACCAATCCTGCTTTCCTGGCATGTTCCAAAAACTCCTTCTCTGTTTTGTATTTGGGTTCACGAAGAGGGGGTCTGAACCGGCTTTTGGTTTTTACTGGAACTACAGCTGGGGATTGAGTCACCAGAATGGGCTGGGAGGTAAAGGAAAGGTTAGCAAAGAAGTGATTTGGAAAGAAAAACCTATCTTGAGCAACTGTACGCAAAGTCTTACAGAACGGACATATCCAAAGAATGCTTCAGAAGTTAAGAAACAACTGTTATGGCGAAACTACATTACTACTCGATCACCTAGAGCTCTAGAGATGGCTCTTACCACAAGCCAGTTAATAACCTTTATTAACATCAGTCAACACTTACTAAAAGCTTTCCTTTGACACATCCTGCAGTGGTGCTGTGTGCGGAGATGAGCAAAGCGGAAGTCCTACCCTCAAAGACCTTTTATTTAGCTTGATGATGAACCTTAGGATCAACCCAATACTGAAGATCTCGTGGGCATTTTCTCCACACTTTTCTTTTTCTTTTTCTACCCGGGCAGTGTCTCACTGACTTAATTCTGTCCTTTTAGCTCCAGACTGGACAATAAAATTTGAGAAGCCAGGTGACCTTTTTCTCCGATCATGAGTTTTGCTCCAGGCTAAGCAAAACCGACCTTGTACCTCTATCCTTGGCAGTTTTTTTTCTTTTTTAAAGAATGTAAAAGAAGCCGGTACACCTTCCAAGCCACTACTTCTTTCCTTTTAACATCTCGCCAAAGAGACTGGGACTAAAGCGGAGAAGCTTAAAGCCCCGCCCAGGTTGTCTTCACTCAGAGACAAGGATCACATACACCTCCAATTCTTCCCCAGACGAAGTCAGACATGTATCGTCCAAACTCATCAACGGCCACTGTCCGATTATTCCCTTCTACTTTGTCCTCCTCCTTCTGTTTCTAAAATGTCATTCGCCTCGTCCCTACCCACCTGCCGAGACCACCATCCCAAAGCCCTGGATAAGCAGGACAAGTCCCGCAGTATGGGGGCTGCCATTTTGTCCGCGCAAAGGCCGCTGGGATGCCGGTTAAGCCGCAGAGCACTGAGCAGGAGAAAAGGCGCATAGGGTGGAGCGAGCTCGGGAGTGGAATTTTCCAGGGCGCGCGCCCTAGGCCGAAAGGTGAGACGCACGCACGCGCACGTTCGGGAGGGGGGACGCGTGCGCGCGCAATGTAGTTGCGCGTGCGCAATGAGACCACATTGGAACTAGGGTAGACCGCACGGCTGTCACGCGCCAGCGGGAGAGCGGTGGAGAACCAGCTGCGCCTGCGCATGAGGCTCTCCGTGGGGAACCGGCTTGCTGCATTCCTGGTTGCTTAGCACACTGTTACACCTTGTTTGCTCTCACTAAAAGAATGAAAAAGTGTTTCTCTCTGAAATCAGAGGACTTTGAGATTAGTGTTTTCTTTCATTACGTGGAATACACTGGAGGAATTTAGGGCGAAAATGATAGTTTCTGGGTGTGTATCTGACCGCAAAATGCTGTATAACCTTAAACTTGAGCCCCACCTAGTTTTCTACATGAAAATTCTTCCTTCTTGTTCCATTAGAGAAACTGATCCCTGTGGTTACTGAAAAGCAAACGGGCACGTGGATTGACAACTATCTGGGTTTTTGTTTTGTTTTGGTCATTTTCAAAAAAAAAAGAGAGAGAGAGAGAGAGAAAAAAAACCACTAACCAAATTTGGTAATAGTTCGTTTTTTCAAAATTGTTTAAAAGGTGCCTGGCAATTTAAGCGATTTACATATATCAACTTAATCCTCACTGTTAAGAAGAGCCTCTCTGCCGAAGCGAACAATTTCAATCAGACCAGATTAGATCAAATCAAAGCTGCCTACGCTAAATAAATGCAGCACTACCGGGAGGGCCAGGACAGCATCACGGGGACAGGAGCCCATGCAAACCCTGGAGACCACGTATTCCTTTTTCTGGCACGAGCCTAAATAGCCTGTGGGAGTGGACCTGACTTTCCCTGGGGAGGGGTCAGTGCTTGGCGGGCTTTCCTGGAGGTGGAGTCAGGTCCAAGGAAACTAGAGGGGGGGGCTTGAGACGGAGCCTTCTGCTACATTGACACTCCATTGGAGCCTCTAGGATGGATGCCAGGGACTGGGGTGACTCTCCCAATCATCCCAGACTCCTTGGATATAGGGGTGTCAGGGGGCTGGGGTCACTTTCAATCAAACATTCACCACACACAAAACAAACAAACAAACAAAAAACCCCAAAACAGGACTATTCCTATTTTACATAAGTGATTGGGCCAGAGATACTAAATATGTAATTTAAGTTTAGACAGCTAGTAACTGGCAGAACTGAAATTCGGGCCCATGGAGTAGAAACAACCCAAACTGCCTCACAGTCGATGGCTAAAGAAGTCGTGATGAGATTGATGTTCAAGTTATCGTGGAGCATCCAGTGTCAGACACACTTTCGAGGAGCAAAGACTGTCCAGACTTTTGTTTTCTCGTATTCTGTAGATTACTGTTACTTGAGCACTCGTCTACAATATTTTGCAATAGATTAGGAGTTACAGGCTGTGCATGTCGAGCTTTCCCACTGAAGAAGACTTGCTGGTGACTTAAAATGTTGAGGGTCATTGTCACAGGGTCTGGGAGATTCCATACAGGTCTGGAAACCATACGGATTGTTTCAGGTCTGAATTTCTAACTCTATGAGATTTTCTTTAACTCATTATGTAAATGGGGAGGACTGAGCCACTCCTCATCTTCCTGCTTCTGCCTCCCCAGAGCTGGGATTATAGGCACACCCCATCATGATTGCCCTTTGAAACTTCTTCAAGGGTAATAAATTTCCCAAATTTCTAGCCTTAGCCCTGAACCTATGCCATGATACACTGATAGTGACATAAAACTAGGTACTATATGTATGTTAACTAAATAATATAAATAATATTTATATTAATAAACATTTAAATGAGAGATATTTATTATCTCATTATTTCTTTTACTTTACTTTTTTTTTCTTTTGAGACAGGGATTCTCTGTGTAATCTTGCTTGTCCTGGAACTTACTCTGTGGAGCAGGCTAGCCTCAAACTCTGTCTCTGCTTCCTGAGTGCTGGGATTAAAGACATATGCCACCACTGCCTGACTCTTTTACTCACTACTATTATTGGTGTTTTGTTTTGTTTTTGAGACAGGGTCCAATTGTATAGCTGTGGCTGGTCTGGAACTCTACACCAGACTGACTTCAAATCACAGAGATCCCTCCCGCTTCTGCTTCCTAAATGCTGAAATTAAAGGTGTGTTCCATCCTGCCTGGTCATCAATGTCTCATATGCCTTTTCAGACTCCTATCTACCTATTCTAATCATTATAAAATAAAACATGATTTTGTTTTAATTTGGTACACCGGATGAAGTGAGAAGACCTGTCAGGATGCCTGGCTGTTGATTACTACAGGATACTGTTACAATCTTCCTCAGACTCTGCTCTTTCATTACTTTATTTTGACCACACCAGAGTAGGTAGCACACCCAAAGTCTTTTCTGCCTGACCTCTGGTCAGTTTCTCTGATACTGCAAACTAATTCCATATCAGTTTGGTTGAAATAAGATTAGTCAATGTGGTTTAGTTCATTAAAAGTGATCATTGCTGCATTTGATTAGGTGTTTTGGAGAATTTGTATTATCCTTCTTCCTCACGAAGTTCAAGGTTAATTGTCAGCTGAGGAAGTAACACTAAAGGATATTTCTTAATCCTCCAACACTAATAGTCTGTATTTCTCAGAATGCAAGATAAAGAGATTTTGCCCCACGCTCCCTTCGGCAGCACCTACACTAAAGCTGGAAGGATACAGAGAAGATCAGCACGGCCCCTGCATAGGATGACGTGCAAATTCATGAAACAGTCCAAGTTTTATCGTCAAGATGAAATTTCAACAGAAATATTTCTTATATTTCTTTTTTTTCTTCATTTCATGCTTTATAATTGTGCACAAATGCTGTCAACTTTGCCAGTTCTATAATTGTTTAAATGTGTACTGTTGGGATGGGCAATTGTCACTCACGCCTTTGATCCCAGCACATGGGAAACAGAGACAGAAGGATCTCTGAGTTCAAGGTTAGCCTGGTCTACAAAGAAAGTTCTAGGGACTGGAGAGATGACTCAGAGGTTAAGAGCACTGGCTGTTCTTCCAGAGGTCTTGAGTTCAATACCCAGCAACCACATGATGACTCACAACCATCTATAATGAGATCTGGTGCCTTCTTTTGGTGTGCAGGTATACAGGAAAGAGGAACATCGTATATATAACAAATAAATCTTAAAAAAATAAAGAAGTTGAATTTCATTAAAAAAAAATTCTAAGACAGCCAGAACTACACAGAAAAACCCTGTCTCATACCCCCACCTCCCACAATGAATGAATAAATGAATGAGTAAGTGAGTAAAACAAAATAAATAAATAGGTACCGTTAAGTTTTGGTTTTAAAAAGCTGGTAAACCAAGTCTTTGTTATTTACTTTTAAAAAGAAAGAAAAAAGGAACTAGAGGCTAAATAGATGGCTCAGGATTAAGAGCCATTGCTGCTCTTTCAGCAGTTCTGAGTTCCGTTCCCAGGACTTAGATGGCAATTTATAGCCCCCTGTATCTATAATTCCAGGGGATCTGATGCCCTTTTCTGGCCTCTGATGGCACTACATGCGTGTGGTACATATAGAAACATTCAGACAAGCACTCATCTATGTTGAACTGAGATTTCTTCTGTTCCTCCCATTCCTGCAGCCATTCAGTCCCAAAGAAATACACAGAGGTCTACATTAATTATAAATTAGTTGGCCTAGTATCTCAGGCATATTATTAATTAATTCTCAAATTTTAAATTAGCCCATTATTCTTGTCCATGTTAGCCACATGGCTTTGTACCTTTTTCAGCAAGGCATTCTCATCTTGCTTCCTCTGTGTCTGGGTGACAGCCGCAGACTGATCTTTTCTCTTCTCAGAATTCTCCTCTTCTTGTTGCCCTGCCTCTACTTCCTCCTTCCTGGTTGCCCCGCCTACCCTTCCTGCCTGGCTACTGGCTAATCAGCGTTTTATTAAAAATAATACAAGTGACAGGATAAAAAACCATTGTCCCACAGCACTTCCCCCTTTTATTTTTTATAAAACAAAAACTCTGAATCCAATATCCTTTGTTTGGCTTTTTGTCCAGACCATTATCTATAACATCTTGTAACCAACACACTAAACAAAGATAAATATCCATAATCCATTTTTTAGAAATGTGAGCATAGTTTTCTAGGCTACTTCCTGCTGATTGGGAGCACTGATAATCTTAAGAGGACCTAAAGAAAATTTAGAATTATGATCAAGTCCTGACTAGAGTATCCTGTGAGGCTTGATCATCTCAGCCAGAAGTATTGAAACTGTTTTGAATGTAGAACTCATACATCTGGGGCATCCACTTCTATTAGAAATATCTCGGGGGGGGGGTCTTCCTTGATCAAACCTGATTTTTCTTTTTTTTTTAATTAATTAATTTATTTATTCTGTATACAATATTCTGTCTGTGTATATGCCTGAAGGCCAGAAGAGGGCACCAGACCTCATTACAGAAGATTATGAGCCACCATGTGGTTGCTGGGGCTTGAACTCAGGACCTTTGGAAGAGCAGGCAATGCTCTTAACTAGTGAGCCATCTCTCTCCAGCCTCTCTTTTCTTTTCTTTTCTTCTTCCTCTTTTTTTTTGTTTTTATTTTTGTTTTTTTAACCTGATTTTTCTTAACCTGGAATGAGTTCACAGTTTCTCATTTTCTGTGGAAACAAAAGCAAAACATCTTCTCCAAAGTAACATATCTTTTGACTTCAATTTTGAAGTTAAGGCATTTTTAAAATGCCTATCTTGAATTAATCCAGTAACATTTATAATAAAATGTCTTTTAGCAGGTATTGCTCCTTCCTCAGCCATCAGACAATTTAAAGACAACACAATAATAAACAGTATCCAGACTCTGCGTATTTTCCATCTTTATGTGGCTTTATTTTAAACTCTATTTCTTTTGTTTTTAATTCTTGGCTTTTTGAGACAGATTTCTCTGTGTATCTTTGTCTGTAGATCGGGCTGTCCCTGAACTCACAGAGATCTACCTACCTCTGCCTTCCAAGTATTGGGATAAAGGTGGATGCCACCACACCCAACTACTCTCTTTCTTTCTTTTTTTATTTTAAGAACGTTATCCTCCTTCTTTTCTCTCCCAAGTCTACATATATTTTTAAACACACTGTAAACTGTTTAGAGGCTTTTTCTTCTGACACCATCTTTACCATCTCTCTCTTTTTCTGACCACATGAGTCTTTAATTTGCTAAGCAGTATGGCCAGGATTAAAGCTGTGGCCTTGGCGGCTGGATCCAGCCATTCCTTAGCTTTCTCAGATTCTAGCCTCACTGTGCAGGTACCGCCAGAGCCATATTTATTGCCACAACTCTATGGCATTTTAAGGTCCCTGCCACCATCAAGTAGCACGCTGTTGGCTATTCATAAACACCATTTAAATGTTTGGTGACAGGGACTCCTAAAAGAGTTGCAAGGTTTTGCAGCTAAAGCTGAGTCAGGAAGCCTCTCTTAAATGAGATGTGCTTGCCTCTAGCAAAGAGAGCAAACCTGAGAAATTGCTGCTACCAGAAGCCATGCTTATGCCATTATTTTTTGTTTAGAATTACTTCCCAAGCTCTCTCAGGTTTTCTGTGAATGCAGTTGTTCACACATTGAGCACCATTTTCTGTCCCACCAGGTCCCACATCCATTTAGTCCCAAGTAAACACACAGAGGCCGACATTAACTATAAACTGATTGACCTTTAGCTCTAGTTTCTTATTGGCTTACATATTAATTTAACCCATCTCCATTATTCTATGTATTGCCACGTGGCAATGGCTTACTAGGTAAAGTTCTGGCCTCTATCTCTGGCGGGCTACTTGGCTTCTCTCTGACTCTGCCTCTTTTCTCCCAGCATTCAGCTTAGTTTTCCCTGCCCAGTTCTATTCTGCCCTATCAACAGGCCAAGGCATTTTCTTTATTTACCAATGGTATTCACAGCATGCAGAGGGGAATCCCTCATCACATCTACATAAAAATAAAATAAATCTCTTCAACAACAGTGAAAAGGAAATACCATGAGGCAGAAGTTTCTTCCCCATATCTATCAACACACAAGGTGTTCCTGGAGTCCATTTTTCAATGTTCAAATGAAACCTTGTCTTAATTATTGCCGTGAAGAGACACCATTGAAAGGGTCCAGAAATAAGAATATAAAAATGTAGATTCCAGAAATAGGAATGTAAAAATAGAGAAATATAAAGTTTTAGGCCTAGGAGAATGAGAACAGACTGTCTTTCTCAGACGGCTTTCTTGGTAGCTTAAGGATTAACTATTAACAGTGGGTTACTTCACTTTACAACCATAGTTCTATTCATAAGGCCAAAGCATCTCTCTGCAAACTAAGAGCTAGACTACAGATAGGTGCTGAGTTAACTTTTAGGAAATAGATATACAGCCTCTGGGTTACGCATTATCCCTGCTGTGTGAAACTGGCAGCCTCAAAGGGAAGGCACAGGGCTTCAGTAAGCACTATCTGGATGTACCAAGGAAGGCAATAGGCTAAGCACAAACATTAGTTTAACTGGGAAATGAAGATTGTAAAGTAAGGCAATCTATGTCTGAGTTTTAGCTTGAGATTGTGTGAAAAGCCTTTTGCTATCTTCTAAGTTCCAAGCCTAAGAACCAATTATTCTGATTTATTAACCTTCTGATATTTCTAGCAGTACCTTTTTCTGACTAATTGCTAAAAGCATCCGTTTCCTTGCAATTAGTGGCTTTCACTGTACTCTCCTCTAGAACATATTTCATGATAGCTGCCTAGTTACCCACTGACGTTAGAACCCACTCCCTCTTTCCCTTTACCCTATATCCACCCTGTTTACTCCCCTAATAAACAAGAGACTTGATCAGAATCTTGTCTTGTCTCCATCCCTTTTATTTCTTGTTCCTTTCAACTCTCATTCCTCCCCTTAGGGTCTACCTTGACTGACCTGTGGGTTGGGACAAGATTGTAAAAATTCCTTTGTTCAGACCTAATGCTTGGTCTGAACCCATACTATAAAAAGCCTTTTGCCACAGTCTAACAAACACCATCTCTGGCTGTGGTCTCAGCTAGCCGATAAGTTTCTGTGCCCCATGGTGTTTTTCTTTTTCTTTTTTTTCTTTTTTTTTTAAAAAATATTTATTTATTTATTTATTTATTATGTATACAATATTCTGTCTGTGTGTATGCCTGCAGGCCAGAAGAGGGCACCAGGCCCCATTACGGATGGTTGTGAGCCACCATGTGGTTGCTGGGAATTGAACTCAGGACCTTTCGAAGAGCAGGCAATGCTCTTAACCTCTGAGCCATCTCTCCAGCCCCTCTTTTTTTTCTTTTTAAGTTTTCTTCTGGTTTTACTGGAATCTGGTTTTTTGAATAAAGTTTGCTTCTGGTTTATTAGACTTTGGTGGTCTGTCCCCATCTTTGCGCAACCCCCCCTGGACCCAACAATCATGACCACATCAACTCTTACAAAGAAAAACATTTGTTAGGGTGGCTTTTCTGTTCAGAGGTTCAGTCCACTATTGTTTCGGTGGGACACGGCAGCATGCAGGCAGACATGGTGTTGGGGACATGGTGAAAGCTGAGAGTTCCACAGCTTTCACAGGTAACAGGAAGTGGTCTGAGACACTAGGCATAGCTTGAGCATATATGAGACCTCAATTCCCCACCTGAGAGTGACAAGGCCATAATCACTCCAACAAAGTCACACCTCCTAATAGTGTCTCTTCCTATGAGCTTATGAGGGATAGTTTTATTTAAACTATCACAAGGCCTAAAGGGAATAGAACTCCTTGTTAGCAGTGGGGAATATCTATGTATTTTTGCCTTCCCAGTGGCAGATAACATCAGGATTGAATCTTATAAGGGCTGGAGATACAGCTCAGTGGTTAAGAACATGCACTGCTCCACTGCTCGCCAGGCAGTGGTGGCACACGCCTTTAACCCAGCACTCGGGAGGCATAGGCAGGCAGATCTCTGTGAGTTCAAGGCCAGCCTGGTCTACAAGAGCCAGTTCCAGGATAGGCTCTAAAAAACTACAGCGAAACCCTGAGTTTGATTTACAGCACCCATAGCAAGAAGCTTGCAACAGCCTGTAACTCCATCTCAAGGGTGATACAACACCCCTGTCCTCTGCATGTACCCACACACACATATGCACAACATGTGCACATACACACATGTATACTATATATACAGATTATGCATACTATATATAGATAGATATTTAGATAGACAGATTAATACAAGCAATAGACTTGGCAAGTGCTCACATTGTGCTTCTCTGACATAAGGTAAGAGGAGCACAGAGAAGAAAGGGACTTATCCAAGGTCAGGTGCCACAGAGGAAACAAGAATGGTGACTCCTAGCACATAACTCTCAACTGATTCTAGCTAAGGACATCAGCAGTGCTGCTTTGTCACCCAAGGTGACACCCTGGGACTCTCACAAGTGCTTAGGAATCCGACAGTGCTTGATGCAGCTTCTTGGCCATGCCTGATTCTCAGCTATACAAAGGTGGTAATCCGATTCTTAAATTACAGAATTATTAATTGAATAAAATCAAATGAGTTCCACTTTGGTTAGTTAGGGTTCCAGCCTGCTGATTTAGTTCTGGAAAGGATCTGTATGGGAGCCTAGTGGAATGCTAAGAAGTGTGGCTGCCCCGTATGCTGGACACAGAAGAGGGACACCCTGCCCTACAGTGCAGAGCCCCTGAACAAGAAATCTCCAGACCAAGACAAGAGCTGACTCCTTGAGGAACTCTACCCCGCAGTTCACATCTCTCCTGATGCTAGACCACAGAAACACAGGAAGTTTCCATGGCCCAGAGTGATTCCTTCTGCCTGCTACAAAACTCTCTTCTCAAGGCTGCCTTTCTGTCTCTCATCTATTCTTCCGCTTCCCGCTGCTGCTGGAGACGGAGCCTTTGCCTTTGTGCTTGCCCTAGATTCTTCATTCTGAAGGCATGTTTAGGGAGAGATATTATTCATCCCCGCTCCGCCGGGAAAGAAGCCCATGCATCCTGCTGCTGCTGGAGAGAGTGAGGTCTAGAATTAATCCCTCTCCTTGCTCCACTTTCTCCCAGCTGGCTAAATCAAGCGATCATCCTAAAAGGGAATTTCAGGCTATTTGTGACTCCCTACCTCCACTGCACCGCGCACACTCTGTGTTTAGGGAGAGAGGGCAAAGCCCTTTGGATCAGAGTAATCTGTTTCTAACCCACTTCCACTCTCAGGGATTACCTTTAGGGGGAGGGGAAGGGAGAAGGAAAGAGAACTAAATCTCTGTGCCTTAGTGTGAGGAGGAAACTCCAGGTGCGGCCCTTGAGGGCTGTAGGCGGGGAGAGTCCACGAGCCTGGGAGCTCCCTCCCTTCCCAGGGTCCACAGGCTGGGAAGGCAGAGCCTGAAGTAAGGTTTGGTAATAACAGGCAATGAATGAAAGAGTGGAAATTTCATGGTTTGTGTGCAGATGAAGGTAAACGCTGTCCCTGCTTGTATCTCCAAGTTTCACGTCTTTATATGCTCAAGTTATGGGCAGAGTCAACCCATCAACCAGTGTGGTGCGGTGAGAAACTCTCTAGGGACAAAGAGACACGGCCCCCAGTGCTGACTTTCGTTTGCCCTGTGGCTTTACACGAGTCACTTTGCATCTCTGATCACTAGTTTGTCCTAACAAAAAGGGGGGGAAAAGTCTCTCTCATGAACCCTAAAAGCCCGGATTCCCAAGGGACATGGATCTCCTTCCTATTTATAACACGCCAAGAGCAGATCACCGGAGCGTTTACCAGCATGACTCTTCTGCGGACCTTGTGTGATATCTCTGGTGCTTACCACACATTTTCTCTAACCTGTACTCCATCCTCCACACCCATAGAGCTCCAACATCCAAATACACTTTCCCTAACGGCGTTCTTTTGATATGCTCTCGGCGAGCTTCATGTGTGCTAATGCAAGAAACGTCCACTAGAGGGCACCAGGGCTGCACCGGGATCTCAGATCGCAAGCCCTGTGCAATTCAGGACCTTTCCATCTCTGCACTGGGAAGTACAGGGCTCTCTTTTTAGTGCTCCTCACCTCATTTGCTCTTTACTGAGCTTAAAAAATAGTCTTAAAAAGCCTCCACTATTTTGACATCTTTTTAAGTTGATTTGATCTCAGCTCAAACGCGGCTAAGTATGGCGGAATCCATGGGGGTTCCGGCGACCGATACAGACCTTGTGGTAGGATTTCCAAATTCTATGAGCAAATTGCTTAAACCTGCTGTGGCCCCATACCCTTTGGTGAAATGGGAATTGCAAAACTGACCTCACTGAGTGATAGCATATGGATCGTGTGACCGGTATAGCGCAGATGACTGGGGTTATTTAAGTGCTAGGGGAGAATTTTGACCTACTGCAGATGGGGAATCGTGGTGTTATAATACATAGGTCTGCAGGAGCACAGAGCCCCTCTTGCTGTTTTATCCTCCAGACTTACGGTTTTGAGGCCGAGGCTGCTGGTGATTCGGCTCATCCCTCAGTGACATCTCATCACACTGCAGCACAGTGCTGCTCCTCCGTCCTTTATCTTGGTTTTTAGGGAGGTAAGTTACTTCCAGCTCACGCCTCCATGAGAACCTCTCTTATTCTTTTACTCTGCTTTGTGTTTCCCGAATGCCCCATTCCCACCTGGCGCTGCCCTTTCCTCTCCCTCTCAGGGCTTCTCCGTTCACTCCGGGAGTCTCCTAGACCAGGGAAGGTTTGCAAAGGGAGCGCGGGGGGGGAGGGGGGGGGGACAGAGTGCTCAGGGCTTGCGTGTCAGTAGACACGTTACAGCTGCAGGGCAACCCAGGGTGAAGCCACAAGGCCGAGGCCGCAGGGCAGGCAGCTGACAGGCCCGCCCCTTGGCTTCTGCCTTCACTGTCTCACCCCAGAGTTTTCCTGGCCCAAGCGGGAGAAGTTGGTACCAAGCCCTGGAGCCCTGACTCATTCTCTGTCCTAGCTGGGTGCTTCTCAGTCACATCTCTCAGACTATCTCTGCAGGGTTCCTCTGCGCTAGCCACGTGGCTGTGTCATCTCAAACAGGAAATGCCGAAGAAGAGGAAACAGATCACCTACTCACTTCATTCCTATCTGGGGACCCTAACCACAAACATGAAGTTAATGGCACTAGTGGTTATAAACTGAACAAACCCATTCTATATTGCTACTTGAAGGGACTAGATATTTTGCAGATTTCTTTAAATAATTGAAACAATCGTCCCTAAAGTTATCAAGAAAAAAAACTGTTCAGGAGAAGGGGGAGGGGAACATGGGACCAGGAAGTAGCACAGTGACTCAGGGCCTTATCTAGGGACATAATTCAGGTCTCCCAACCCAACCCTAAATTCCATTCTTCTCCTCCACCGAGTTACTCATGGACCACAGTGATATTCTGGGCTTTTTCTGGACTTCATAATATTGGTTTTTTTTTTGTTTTTTCAAGACAGGGTTTCTCTGTAGCTTTGGAGCCTGTCCTGGAACTAGCTCTTGTAGATCAGGTTGGCCTCTAACTCACAGAGATCCTCCTGCCTCTGCCTCCCAAGTGTTGGGATTAAAGGAGTGCACCACCACCGCCCAGCTAATATTGTTCTTTCTTATGTTGCCAGATTAAGTCCTGTGGATTTGTCTTATGCTTCCTGACGTAGTTTGTCCTTTCGCCATTTGTCCTGTGCAATGTGTGAAACAGACGTCTGCCGAGCTGACACCTAGACAGGTGATCGACACACTTGGAGTCATTGAAGATGCAAGGAAAACTGGTGTGCACTCTACCATCCTGAGGTGACATCTTAAAGACTGGAGATTGCATTCTTGTGTGTCCCTGTACCAGGAATGCTAAGATTTTTTTTTCCTTTTTTCTTTTCTTTCATTCTTTTGTTTTGTTTTGGACAGGGTTTTCTGTGCAGTCCTGGCTGTTCTGGAACTCACTCTGTAGACCAGATTGGCCTCTGCCTCCCAAGTGCCAGAATTGAAGACATTCACCACCATACCAGGCTTGAGAATTATTTTCTTACCTTTCCTTTATTTAAAGGTTCCAGTCACCTTTAAAGTAGGGCCTTGCTTCCTAAAGCCATTAAGTGGTTTCCAGGAAAGTAGATTTTTAGCACTCTCCTTTGGCAGAGGGTGTGGAGTCATTGCAAACAAGCCAGAACATCCTTTCTGCCAGCGCTCCCCATCTGGAAGAAAGAGAGTTTCAGAGTTTTCCAGAAGGGCTGCCTAATGGGGAGGAACAGCGAGAGAGCCTCAGAGAGGGAAGAAGTCATGGGGCTGGACCCCCAAGCTTCATGGTCCAAGAAGAAGATCAAATTTTGGAGACATGGCCCGGCACCCCTGTCCCTCTCTCATCCTCCTGACTCTCTGATGGAGTTTCTTTTGTTCCCCATTTCTTAATGCAATCTTTCATTTTATTGTTCAGACAGGGTTTCTCTGTATCCCAGACTGGTCTTGCTCTTGTGATGGGAATGCCTTAGCATCTCAAGTGCTAGAATTGCAGGTGTTCACTTCCGTGTTTGACTGGTTATTTAATCTTTCTTATGTGTTTATCTATCTCTCCTACCTCTACCCAGACATTTTGTTTTATTTATGTGAGATTTATTTTACATGCATTAGTGTTTCATCTGCATATATGTCTGCACACCACCTGTGTGTCTGGTGTCCACAGGAGCCAGAAGAGGGCATCCAGTCTCTTGGAACTGGAGTTGGTTGTAAGCCACCACGTGAGTGCAGGGAATCAAACTTGAGTCCTCTGGAAGAGCAACCACTGCTCTTGACTACTGAACCATTTCCTCAGTCCTATTTACTTATATTTTGAGACAGGATGTAGCACTGGTTGGCCTGGAACTCTTTCTGCAGGCCAAACTGTCCTCAGACTCAGAGAGATCTGCCTGCCTCTACCTCCCTAGAGCTGGGATCAAAGGTGTGCACCACCATCTCTTCCCCTTAAACAATGTCTTTTCTTTTTTGTTTTGTTTTTTGTTTTTTGAGACAGGGTTTCTCTGTGGCTTTGGAGCCTGTCCTGGAACTAGCTCTTGTAGACCAGGCTGGCCTCGAACTCACAGAGATCCGCCTGCCTCTGCCTTCCAAGTGCTGGGATTAAAGGCGTGCGCCACCACCGCCCGGCACAATGTCTTAATATGCCATGGGAAAACAGGATTGCAGAATTCTAAGAACTTTCTCATGACCTGTATTCCACAGACATTGGAGTTTATGAATTTATGGTGTTATCTTGTGCATATGTGATTTTTTTTTCTGGCAAAAATGTTGGCCAGGTTTTCAAGGGGTTCTGTGATCACATCAGTCTACTCTGCATATAGTTGAGTGGTAGAATACATGCTTAGCACACAAAAGGCCCTGTATTCCTTTCTCCTCATAGGGAAGAAAGAAACACTCAGACGAACAGTCTAAATCATGAAGTTCATTGTGTGCTTGCTTTGGGTTTTGTTTTGTTTTGTTTCCAGAATAAGGCTGGGAATCAAAGTTAATTTTGGGACTTCAGTCATGACTTTTCCTTTTAGAAATAAGTAGAAGAAGGGTGGGCGGTGGTGGCTCAGGCCTATAATTCTAGCACTGGAGAGGCAGTGGCAGGCAGATCTCAGTGAGTTCAAGGTCAGCCTGGTCCATAAAATATTAGGGTGTGTCGTAAAATGAAAGGCCATTTGTAAATTAATGTTGGCTTAGAAATTCATTTATAATAACATTTATTTTTAAGACAAAGCCTTGCTGTAAGGCCCAGGCTGGGCTAGGATTTGCTATATAGCGCAGGCTGGTCCCAAACTTACCAACCTCTTGTCTCCACCCCTTAAGTGCTGGGAATAGGACTATGTGTTTATGCGATGACTATTTACTATGAAACAGATACTTCTGTAAGCACTGAGGGTACAAGGATGAAAAGGACATGTTTCTGACCCAAAGGTGCTAGCATTTGACAGTAAAAATACACACACACACACACACACACACACACCGCCAAACGTTGGTAAGGACTAAGACAAAAGCAATCACAATGTTCAAGGAGATACAAGTAGAGCATGGCAGTCCTTTGGAGGCTTGCAGGCAAGGCCACATTTGAGCCTGAAAAGATGACACTCCATGGAGACAGACATGCTCAAAGGCACAGTTGTTTAAAATGACCTAGGATCAACTGGATGTGGTGGAGTGTGCCTGTAAACACAGCGCTTGGGAGGCTGAAACAGGAGACCTGCTACAAATTCACCGTCAACCTTGTCTACAAAACAAGTACCAGGTTAGACAGGGCTGTGAAGAGGGATCCTGTGTCAAAAATAAAGTGAAGACAACAAAACCACCTCTGAGACGCAGAGTGTTCTGTTGGAATGGAACATTGCTTCAGAACTGTGGTAGCCAGCTGCCTAGGTTTCAGATAGAGGCTGGAGCATGGACAGTCTCCCACCAAATGCAGAAATTCTTACACTATAGCAGCCTGTCACCCACATCTGCCTGGACCCCCTCAATGCCAGGAAACCTAGATCTTTGTGTGCAGCCCATTCTGTTTCTGACTATCTGGTAGTGAGAGAGCCCTCTCTATTCTGATGTGATATTTCCTTCCCTCTTACATATGGTGATCCTCACTGCCCTCTGCAGCATCACAGGGTGAACCTATGTCCTGTTTCTATTAGGTCAAACCAAGTAAAATAGCTATTACTGTAGGTCAGTTGAATACGGGCAATTTCAAATTGTCAACATTCAATAGACAGTTCGGTATTTGAGAGCACCTTAGTTTTCCTTAGGTCACCTTAGTTTTCCTCCTGTATCCTCCTCCCTCTCCAGTGCTGCTGGGATCACAGGCATGTGCCGCGAGGACCAGCTTTTAAAATATTTTATTTTTTGAGACTCATTCTCACATGGACCAGGCTGGCCTTGAACTTGCAATGTAGTTAAGGCTCACCTTGAACCGCTAATACTCACTCTTCACCTCCACATCCCCAGTGCTGAAGTTACACATACCTCACTCACCTCACAAGTCCTGAGAGCTTCCCCACCATGATCTCTCACTAAACACATTCTACCTTTTCCCTGTCTTTCTTAACTGACAAGGCCAGAGCTGGTCATCACAACACACAGTGCGATTATGATTTCTCTACAGGACATTCTCCTGAAGCCGAGACTGGATTGAGTTTGTTGGCACCTGAACCTTTTCACCTAAAATCTTGTCAAGGAAGTTCAGCTCCTTCCTGCACAACTGATTTTTTTTTAAAAAAAACATAACTGAGTCGGGCGGTGGTGGCGCACACCTTTAATCCCAGCACTCAGGAGGCAGAGGCAGGCGGATCTCTGTGAGTTCGAGTCCAGCCTGGTCTACAAGAGCTAGTTCCAGGACAGGTTCCAAAGCCACAGAGAAACCCTGTCTCGGAAAACCAACCCACCCCGCAACAACAGCAACAACAACAAAAACCATAACTGTAAATCTTGACTTTATCCCTGTTAAATTTCATCTTGTTGATTTTGGCACTTTGTTCTAATCTGTCAAAATGATTTGTCTGCATTGTAAACATATATCAAAACATCACACTGGTCGGTGGTGGCGCATGCCTTTGATCCCAGTACTGGAGAGGCAGAGGCAGGCAGATCTCTGTGAGTTTGAGGCCAAGCCTGGTCTACAGAATGAGTTCCAGGACAGCCAGGGCTACCCAGAGAGACTCTGTTGAGAGAGAGAAAGAGAGAGAGAGAGAGAGAGAACAAATCATCTCATAGTTTGACACGGGAGCCTTCAGATCAGAGATCTCAGAACTCAAGATGAACTATTTCCATATTCTGTAAAATTTGGACTGCAGTGCGGGGAAAGATGATTTAACACAAAGGGTGTGGCCAAAGAGGAATAGATTAGGGGGAAAACCCAGCAGGGCCTGTCTGTTGAGATTCCTGGCTGGTGGTGTGTGCAGTGTTCTCCCTTCCAGAGTGGGTGGGGTAATAGGTTACAGTCACAACTTAAGTGTAAATTTCTTCTCTCAGGCCGAGAGGTGGAGGGAGCTGCAGTAACACCGTCAGGTTCTGTGGCTTTTGGGGGAAAGGGCTGCTCTTCCTCCTGTCACACGTGCTCTGCCTCGGGGAAGAAGAATCCTGGTGTCTGTGGCTTGCCTTGGAGAGAGAGAGGGGGTCGAAAGGCAGTGGGGCGGAAGTCAGGAAGGAGCAGCTTCGGAGATCTTTATTTGGGGGTATAGTTTGCTGAGTCATCCACAGCTTTCAAGCTCATTTTCTTGTCTGCATATTCCTGTACCTTTCCTCCTTATTAATAACACGCTAATACCACCAGTCGGGGCTGATCCCACTAAAGCAATCATTGAGGACCTCCTTGTTGCAAAGAAGTTTTTGTTTGTTTGTTTGTTTTGTTTTTTTGACTTTTCAAGACAGGGTTTCTTCCTGTAGCCCTAGCTGTCCCGCAACTCACTCGTTGACTAGGCTGACCTTGAACTCATAGAGATCTCTCTGTACCTGCCTCCTGAGTGCTGGGATTAAAGGTGTGTGCCACCACAGCCCAGCCGAAAAGTTCCTCTTCAGCTATGTAGACCCTCCAGCAATTCTGAGGGAGGCTTTGTGATCATCAGTGCTCATTTCCCCACCAATCCCTGAAAACTGATGTCTGGATTATTCTAGATGTTTGTATTCTAGCTTTCAGCTTTGATGAGGTTCTCCCCTTTGGCTCTTTCAAAAAAACTCTTTTTTTACATCAATTTGTTTATTTAGTGATTGCGCACACACACGTGCGTGCCTCTGTGGGTGGGTGTGCTATCCACGTGTGTATGTGCAGTCCTCACAGTAAGTGTGCGGAGGTCAGAGGACAACTTGTGGAAGTTGGTTCTCAACTTTCACCTTGCTGAGGCAGGATCCCTCGTTTCTGCAGCTGCATCCTCCAGGCTAGCTGACCCTCAAGAGTCTGGATAATTCTATGTGGGCCCTTATCTTACAGTATATGAGTGCTGGGGTAACAGATGTGAACACCCTATGTTTGCATTGTGTGGCTTCCTGTGTGGAAGGGTTTTTACTATGCTGAGCTGTCTCCTTAGCAGTAGAGAGCTTTTTTTTTTTTTTTTTTTTGGTTTTTTAGACTGGGTTTCTCTGAGTAGCCGTAGACCAGGCTGGCCTCAAACTCGGAATAGAGATCATTCTTAACCCTAGCAGACATTCTGTTCTTGGACTAGTTTTACTTAGGTCCCTACCAAATTCTAACTTAACTGCCCTAGTTCCTAGTGGTCTCTGCACTATAGTTCAGGCTTTGTCTCAAGCTGACCCACTCAGCCTGTTCTGTTTCTGCTCAGTGACGGGACCTAACATCTTAATGAGCACAGGTTCTGGACTGCTGCAGCCTGTGCCTGAGAACGTGTCAGGTGGGGTTGTAGGCAGAGGAGTGTAGCTTAGGCAAGCCCTTACCCTCTGCAGCAGTGGGGCCTCTGTCTTCTGCTCTCTGGAGAATCTTCCAGACAGGAAACAGTTGGCCTGTCAGTCAGATTCCTGCAGTTTAGCACACTGAAATTTGGTGGGTGCTTGAGGCCAATTCAGGAAAGGCTATTCAGACGTCTATTAAGACCCCACAATGGGCTAGACGTTGCCGTGGTGTTGGGTACAACATAATCAAGTCACATTTTTTTTAAATGAACGGATTGCCTGGGTTGCTAGCTGCAGGAGTGTGCTAAGTGTCTAAAGAGCTAGAGACTTGAGGGTATTGTTGGAGGAGAGGCAGTCAGAGGAGAAAGGGAGAAGGGAAAATAGGGTAAGATGTTTATCCCTGGGGTTTTTTGATTCTTAGGAACAGTTGAGATTAAAGACCTCAGGAGCACGGGCAGAGGGAGGCACCTTCTGAAGTCTTCTACACAAAGGTGAGTCAAACACCTTGCCTGTTTATCTGGAATGGTGGGAAGAAGGGACGGCGGGAGGGCAAAGAGCAGTCGGGCAGTGTTCCAAGGCTTCTGAGTGTGTTTCTGCGTCTGGGAGTGGTTGTGTGAAATGCTAATTCTGCGATTTCTTGGCAGCTTTTCTGGAAACTGTGATGACAGCTACTGGTGGGAAAAAATCACCAGCAACCACAGTCATTTCCCTGCTGCCAGGTAACTGGCTGGCACCTGAACCACTTCTTATGGCAGACTCCCGTCGACTCGTTTGTTCTCTCTTGCTCATTTGATATAGATAGGGCATTATCGCTGTTTCACATCTCTTGCTTTGGATAGAGAGAAAAGTTCATTTTTTTTTTCTTTTTCCTTTTGAGACAGGGTCTCACTATGTAGCCCAGGTTGGCCTGGAACTTGTTATCTGTAGACCAGGTTAACCTCCCGTTCCCAGAAATATTGCTCTCTTGCCTCTGCCTCCTGAGAGCTGGGGTTATAGTGCACCATCATGTTCCACTAAGAAGTTTGTTTCGTTTTGTTTGTCAAGACAGGGTTTCTCTGTGTAACAGCTTTGCCTATCCTGGAACTCACTTCATAGACCAGGCTGACCTCGAACTCACAGAGATTCACCTGCCTCTGTCCCCTAAGTTCCCAAGGGCTGGAACTAAAAGGAGAAGCTCATTTTCAAAGAGCAGAGAAATGATAAGCCACAGTCTCGATATAAACTAAAGATCTTGTTGAAGAATAAAGAGCCCTGGACAGGAGACCAAGGCCACAAAGAAGACAAAGTTAGTTGGTTAGTTTATTTATTTATTTAATTACTTATTTACTTACTGTATTTTTCTGATACAAGGTTTCTATGTGTAGCTTTGGTTGTCCTGGAACTCATTCTGTAGACCAGGTTGGTCTCAGAGATCTGCTTGCCTCTACCTCCCAACCAAGTGTTGGAATTAAAGGCGTGCACCATTATATCCAGCGACAAAGTTTCCTTTTTTTTTTTTTCTTTTTCTTTTTGTTTTTCAAGACAGGGTTTCTCTGTGTAACAGTCCTGGCTGTCCTGCAACTCACTCTATAGACCAGGTTGGTTTTGAACTCACTGAGATCCTCCTGCCTCTTCCTCTCTAGTGCTAGGATTAGACAAACTTTCTTTCTTTTTTTTTTAAGATTTATTTATTTATTATGTACACAATACTGCCTGTGTGTATGTCTGCACTTCAGAAGAGGACACCAGATCTCATTACAGATGGTTGTGAGCCACCATGTAGGTTGCTGGGAATTGAACTCAGGACCTCTGGAGGAACAACCGGTACTCTTACCCTGAGCCATCTCTCCAGCCCCTAGACAAAGTTTCTTTTTTTTAAAAAAAATGTTTTTTGGTGTGGGAGAGTTTTCTGTTTTCTGTCAATCATATTTTAATAAAATGCTGATTGGCCAGGCAGGCAGTATAGGCAGGAAAGCCAGACAGGAAGTAGGGGTGGAGCAAGGAGAACAGGAGAATTCTGGGAAGCAGGGAGGTTCCTCTGCCATTCCTGCGCAGACCACCGAAGAGGCAACATGTAAGCTGTCACACTGAGAAAGGTACTGAGCCCATGTGGCTAACATAGATAAGGATAATGGGGTAATATATGTTATAAGAGCTAATAAGTAGCCAGAGCTAAGGGCCAATCAGTTTATAACCTTATGGAGTCCAGTGTGTGATTTTCTTTGGGGCCTGCCTGCTGTGGGGTACTGGGTGGGACAGATACCCCAACAAGCCGGCCCTCATGTTACAGTTTTTTAAACTTTTTTTAAACTTTTTTTTGGATGCTTCAGCTGAGATAGCAAGAAAGATGGTTTATTATACACAGGTTACACTTGGCAACAAGTGAGCACAGAACTAGTCCAGAATGCCACGGGTCCAGGGCAAAGGACCAGTAGAGCTGTTTCGGTTGTAACGAAGGCAGTCAAGTCTCTCAGGTGGTCTCTGTGACCTGGTGAGGTTCCAGGCCCACTGAGACTTACCCTAACAACAGCACACACTCCAACAACTTGTACCAGCGTCCTGGCCTTCATCACCCCTTTCTTTGCTCCTTTGGCCTTTGTGTGTGGACAGACTAGTTTACTGGGACCTCTGCCTCACCTTTCTCCTCTTGTGCTTCAGCCTGCGCATTCGCTTCTTGCTCCACTTCGCTCCCATGGCGCAGGAGTTTCAAGGAAGATGGTGCTAAGGCCGGGAGCTGAACTTTTTCTTTTATGTGTACAGGGTTTTGCTTGCATGTATGTCTATGCACAGCATGCGTGCAATGTCTTGGGAGGTCAAAAGAGGGCACTGGTTCTCCTGGAACTAGAGTAACTGGTGGTTGTGAGCTGCTTTGTGGGGGCTGGAAACAGAGCATGGGGCCTTTGGAAGAGCAGCCAGTACTCTTAACTCTTGAGCCATCTCTCCAGCCCCTAAAGTAGATAAAAAACAACAACAACAAGCAACAACAACAAAAACCTTTCCTTTTTCTTTTTTGTTCTTGAGATGGGTTTCACTAGCCTAATCTGGCCTTGAACTCACTAGGTAGTCGAGGCTGGCCCTGAACTCTTCATTTTCCTGCCTCCACCTCCCCAGTGCTGAAATTACTGTGTGACAGAGTTTCTATCGTTAGGTGCGTTCCAACTAGCTTTAGACATGCCAAAGATATCTTTAGGTCATTTATTTGTGTGGCAGGAATTTGTGTACTCCAAGATATTATGGAAAGGAAAAGAAAAGAAGCTGAGCATGGTGACATACACCTGTAATTCCTGCACTGGGGAGGCAGAGGCAGGTGGATCGCTGTGAGTTCTAGGCCAACCTGGTCTACATGAGCTAGTTCCAGGGCAGGCTCCAAAACTACAGAGAAACCATATCAAGGGGCTGGAGAGATGGCTCAGAGGTTAAGTGCACTGCCTGTTCTTCAAAAGGTCCTGAGTTCAATTCCCAGCAACCACATGGTGGCTCACAACCATCTGTAATGGGGTCTGGTGCCCTCTTCTGGCCTGCAGGCATACACACAGACAGAACACTCTATACTTAATAAATAATTTTAAAAAGAAAAGAAAAGAAAAAAAGACTAGGACAGGCCTCAAAAAATGTTTAAACTTCTAAGGAAGTAGTACCTTCTAGAACTTTCTTTTATTGTTTTCTCAAGCTATTCTGTTAAAGTAAACTGTCTGGGCCCCAGATTCTGACTATTGACTCACACAGAGAAGGGCCAAAATAGAACTCAGCTGTTCTACTCCCTCCGATTTTCAATACACACCATGGAAGCATTTAGCTCTGGATTCAAAGCTAGATCACTGACCAGGCATTGTGGCCCATGCCAGTAAACCCGGCACTCAGGGGCTTGAGGCAGGTGGATACAAATTTTGAGGCCAGTCTGAGCTACATACAGTCACCTTGCCTCAAAAGGAGAAAAAAAAATAAAACGAGACCATGTGCACACAGACCAGTTATATTGACATGTGTGCTAGTGAAGAAATATGAATTAAACAGCAAAAGAAAAGGAAGGAAAGGCTTGAAGTGTCGTTCACACCTGTACTCCCAGTACTCGGCAGGTGGAAGGAGGAGGAGCAGGCACTAAAGGCCAGGCTAGGTTACGTAGTGAATTAGAATTTGAGGCCAGCCTGGGCTAAATGAAATCTTATCTCAAAGGGAAAAAAAGCAGAGGATTGTTGTTGGTGGTGCTGGAGAGATGGCTCAGCAGTTAAGAGCCCTTGCTACTCTTGTAGATGACCTGCATTTGGTTTCCGGTACCCACATGATAGCTCATGACCATCTGTATCTTCAGTTCCAGGGGACCTAATGCCCTCCAAAGACACAGACATACATGCAGGCAAAACACTCAAGTACATAAAATAAATTAATACACAACAACAGTAACAAAAATGGTCAGTCATGGTGGCATAAGCCTTTAATATCAGCACTTTGGGTGCAGAGGCAGACTATGGGTTCTAGGCCAGCCTGGTCTACACAGTGAGTTCCAGCCAGGGCTACAAAATAAGACCCCAATCTCAAAAAAGAAGGAGGGAAGAAGGAAAGAAAGAAGAAAAGGATCCACATCTGGAAACAGATGAAAATGCATAATAAAAGACTTGTGAATGCTACAATACATGGAATGCGCAATAATGATATGCCTTGTGGTCGACATGTCACCTTTTAGGAATGCGTAGTTCACTGTGCTGAACCAACTTCAGTGCACAAAGTGCTCACACAGCATTTGTTCAGCTCTGAAAAATGAGTTTGTGGTGTTTTGTCTCGGGCTGTTTATCTTTGACTTTCACTGAGTGAGTCTACATGTCCCATAAAAATAATCAGTACTTCAAAAGGAAAGAGGATTCTGTGTTTTCAGGCTTTCTGGGTATCCATAGCTTCTTTAGACATGAGTCGAAAATGAAAGCAGTGATGAATCTAAAGAAAGAAGGAGAAAGAAGAAACAGAAAATGTGACCATGGAAACAGGCTGGAGGGAATTGTTCATATGCAAGGAGCCCATACAGGTCCTAAAAAAATACTGTAAAAATACTGTAAAAAAATACTGTAGTATATCCAAGGAAAGTCAGTAAGAAGGGCAGACAGCTAAAGCCACTAGCTACTCCTATAAGAGGACCAGAATTAGTTACGAGCATTTACATGGTGGTTCACAACTTCTGTAACTCCATTTCCAGAGGATTCAACACCATCTTTGGGCTTCCAACAGATCTTGCGTGAATGTGGTGTTGGGATACTCTTTTTTTTTTCCTTTTTTTTTTTTTTTTTTTTTTGGTTTTTCGAGACAGGGTTCCTCTGTAGCTTTGGAGCCTCTCCTGAAATTAGCTCTTGTAGACCAGGCTGGCCTTGAACTCACAGAGATCTACCTGCCTCTGCCTCCTAAATGCTGGGATTAAAGGCATGTGCCACCATTGCCTGACCTGGGATAATCTTTTTTTACACTACGTGAAGATGTATCTCTGTTCTAACTCACCTGTCTAAGGCACCTCCTAATTGGTTTAATAAGGAGCTGAATGGCCAATAGCTAGGCAGGAGATGATAGAAGGGACTTCTAGAGAGAGATAGGAATTTAGGAATAAATCTGAAATTGGGAATTCACCAGTCAGACTCAAAGGAAGTCAGAAGCACTTTACTGAGGAAAGGTAATGAACCACATGGCGCAATGTAGATTAATATAAAAGGGTTAACTTGCTTTTTTTGTTTTGTTTATTTGCTTTTTTGAGCCAGGATTTCTCTGTAGCTTTGGAGCCTGTCCTGGAACTAGCTCTTATAGACCAGGCTGGCTTCGAACTCACAGAGATGCACCTCCCTCTGCCTCCCGAATGCTGGGTTTAAAGGCATGAGCCACCACCACCCGGCCAAGGGTTAACTTATGTTTTAAGAGCTAATTGGGAACAAGCTTAAATTAAGTCCAAGCTTTCATAATTAATAAGAAATCTCCATGTCATTATTCAGGAGCTGGCAGTCCAAGAAGGTACCGGTTATAACATGGCGCACATACAGACGAGTCTATACATTAATTTTTTCTATTTGTTTTGGTATTTTCAAACTGTGTTTCTCTGGGTAACAGTCCTTGCTGTTCTGGAAATAGCTCTGTACACCAGGCTGGCCTCGAACTGCCTCTGCCTCCGAAATGCTCTGATTAAAGACCTGCAACACCACCAGTTAACATACAATTTTTGAAGTAAACAAAAAATACCGAAAAAAAAAAGGCATGTTTCTTGTTGGTCATCTTCTTGACGTTCAACAATGCCATCAAATCCTTCGTCTCTAGACTCTAGAGCCTCTCAGGGCCTTGATTTCATCTGTAAAGTTGGTTGTTGGACTAGATAATCTCTGAAGTTCTTTCTAGCTCTGAAATTATATATAATTTCTTGGTATGATATGTGTGAGTGTATGATGTGTGTGCATCATTCTAGACTATCAACATTTAAAATTCTTTTTCAGACATCTTACAACTGTCTGTAACTCCAGCTCCAGGGGAATCTGGTGAATTTGAGGGCACCTGCGATCATGTGCACAATCCACATGCAGACACACACGTACCTGTAACTAAAAATACTAAAAATCTTAAAAAAAAAAACCAAAAAAACAAAAGAGCCCAGGTAGTGGTAGTGCATGTCTTTAATCCTAGTACTTGAGAGGCAGAGGCAGGAGAATCACTGTGAGTTCGAGGCCAGCCTGGTCTACAAATTGAGTTCCAGGACAGTCAGGGCTACATAAAGTAACCCTGTCTTGAAAACAACAACAGCAAAACCAACAAACAAAAAAAATCCCGAAAGATTAAAAACAAAGTGAATGAATTAACCATTAAAAAGGGGGAAATATTAACATTCATATATCTGATAAAGCATTTCTATCCAGATAATATAAGGAATAGCTAAAAATCAACAATAAAAGAAAACAATCCATTGAATGGCAAGATTTGAACAAAGACTTCAGAAAGATGAACAATAAGCCCTGAACAGGCACTTCCGGTAATTGCTGTGATTCTCCTTTCAGAATGAGAAACCTTGTCCTCAGCTGTCGGGAAGGCTGCCTGCCAGCAAGAAGCCCTCAACTGTCAGTCCACTATAGTGGTTACCTCAGCTTGGCGAAGATCACTCCCTTTCCTCCTGGTGGCCTGTATCCAAAGACTAATGAACGTGGGTGTATAAAGGCCCAGCCCTTTGCCCGAATTCAGAAAATCTTGAAGGTTATCCAGGTCCATTGCTTTTTAGAGGACCAACTGAGCCCTCTGAGGTATTATAGCTCTCTTCTCCTGTTTCAGACTTTTACACTTTTTCTTTCCTTTCTTTCCTTTTAGACATGGTCTCACTCCAAAGCCCAGGCTGGTCTGGAGCTCACAGATGCCTGCTGCATTCCGCTCTGTGTGTGTGTCTGGAGCAGGGGTGGGGGCAGGACATGCCACACTTGACTGTGAAGATCATAAAATAACCTCAAGTGTCAGTGCGTCTTTCATCTTCTCTGAGTCAGGGTTTCATCCGTTGCTCCTGGCTGCATATAGACCAGACTCTCCACCTCAAGAGTTTCTGGGTACTCTCCACCTCAGTAAGACTGGTGGAATCATAATTGGGCTCTAGTTTCTGTGGCTTCTGGAATTCCAATTCAGGTTCTCATCCGCTCACAGCAAGAGATCTGTCCACTGAACCATCTCTCAAGCCCAAAGACCACATCACAGAGATTTAACCATCGTTATGGTTTAGATACAGTTTCAGTGGGTGCCCTGGGGAGGGGGTTCACGTCCTCAAAGTTTTGTCCACGGTAGCAGTGTGAGTAGTTGAACCTTTCAGGGGTGGAATCTAGTGAATGGTGATTAGGTTATCAGAGATACTGTTCTTGGAAGAGATACATAAGGTTATGAAAACATCCTCATTAGTTCTTTTAGAATGAATCGTTACACAGCAAGGCTACCCAACATGCTTAGCCCTTTCTGCATACAGTCTCTTGCCTTTCTGAGTCTCTACCATGTTGTTACATAGACAAGGAGGGGGGTTTCAGGCTTGATGAAGCAGCTTGATCTTCAGCTCACAGCATTCACAACTGTGAGCTAAATAATCCTGTTTTCTTTCTTTTTTGGGGGGGGATTCGAGAGAGGGTTTCTCTGTAGTTTTGGAGCCTGTCTTAGAACTAGCTCTTGAAGACCAAGCTGGCCTTGAACTCACAGAGATCCACCTGCTTCTGCTTCCCAAGTGCTGAAATTACAGGCGTGTACCACCACCACCCAATCACAATCCTTTTTTTTTTTAATAAGGTATTCATCCTAAATTATTTTGGTACAATTTCTCAGTTCATCTTTTTTCATTTTGTTTTGGTTTTTGCTTTTTTGAGACAGGGTTTCTCTACGTAACAGCCCTGGCTGTCCTGGAACTCACTCTGTAAACCAGGCTGGTAGTTAAGAGCACTGCTCTGCCAGAGGACCTGAGTTCGATTAGAGGACCTGGGTTCGATTCCCCAAGCACCTACATAGTGGCTACAACCACGGATAACTCTTAGTTCCAGGATAGCTGACACTCTCTTCTGATATCCACAGATACCAGATATGCAGACAAAGCAGCCATATACATTGAAATAAATAAATTTGAAAAAAAATACAAGGTCTTGCTATGTGTCCTTGCTTGGTACTCAGTCCCTAGTCCAGGATGGCCTTAAATCAAGGTAATCTTTCTGCCCTGGCCTCCCAAGTACTGGGATTATAGGCATATGCCAATTGGACTGGCTTAAATTCTATTTTTAAGTTAATGACTTGACTTAGGTATTTTGTTATACCAAAAGAAAATACCCTAATACGCTTCAGATTGTGAACACAAAGAATCCTTTGAAAAGTTTCCCTCCAGGTGGCTGTGAAGATGGCTCGGCTGATAAACTGTCTACTGTATGAGTATGAGGACTTGAGCTTGAATCTTTAGAACCTATATAAAGACCAGAAATGCTAACACATCTGTAACCCTCATTCTGGGGCAGCAAAGCTCAATGGTCAACCTCCCTAGAAGGATTGACAAACTCTAGGTTTAGTTAAAAGTCCTGTCCCCAAAAATAAGATGGAGAGTGATCAAGGAGTATACCCAGTGTCTTCTGGCAGACACGCATGTACACACACGTGTGCACATAACCACATATATATGCATACGCTACCTATCCACCTATCCACATGCTTTACTGCTAGCTAAGCATGGAGACACATGCCATAACTCCAGCACTCAGGAATCTGAGCGCTGAGATGAATAAAGTTAAAGGTTATCCTTGGCTACATAACGAGCGGGAGGTCAGTCAGGACTGCATGAAACTCTCAAGACCAAAAAGCAACAAACCAAGAAAGCAACAATAGCAACAGAAACCCTTCCTGCCAATTAATTTTCTCCTTGAGTTTTCTACCCAGGGAACCCAACTGTGATAATGCCCAAGATGATTAATGATCAAGGGATTTGAATTAAATGCAAACTGTGAACTGCCACTTCACATCCACTAGAAAGACAGAAAAGACTAACAGAAGATGTTAGTGAAGATGTAGAGAAACCAAGACTCTCAGGCAGTGCGGTAAAACACTACTTTGGAGACTATCTAGAAGTTTCTTTTCTTCTTTTTTCCTTTTTCTTTTTATTGTTGTTTTCTTGTTTTTGTTTTTTGGTTTGTTTGTTTGTTTGTTTTTAAGACTGGATTCTACTCTGTGACCCTGGCTGTACTAGAAATTTTTCTTTGTAGATAACCAGGCTGTCTTCTAACTCACAGAGATCTGCCTGTCTCTACCTTCGGAGTGCTAGGATTAAAGGTGTGCACAACTATAACCTGGCTGGCAGTTTCTTATAAAGTTATAAAGATACTTAACCCATGATCCAGCTCTGAGTTAGCCAGGTGTGATAGCACATACTTCAGACCCCACCACTCAGGAGGTAGGTGCAGTAGGGTCAGAAAATCAAGGTTATTATTCTCAGCTACATAGTAAGTTCAAGACCAGCCAGAGACTCCTGAGACAAATAGACAAGCGCGTTGTTTGTTGGGTTTGTTTGTTTGTTTGTTTTTGTTGTTGTTTGTTTGTTTTTTCGTTTTTTGAGAGATCTACCTGCCTCTGCCTCCCGAGTGCTGGGATTAAAGGTGTGCGCCACCACCGCCCGGCCTAGACAAGCACATTGTATAAAATAGATCTGGCCCACAGCTGCAAACCATTCTAAAAGATCCCATGGCTGGGAAGTACAAAAACAAGAGGCAAAATTACTCTGTGGCATTGGAAAGTGGAAAGTAATTGTCAGGTTATGTGTGAGTAGGGAATAGCACTGACTGAAAAGCACCATGAAGAAGCTCCTGGCTTGTTGTTCAAAGGTTCCATGCCTTGTTTTAAATCATAGCTACACTGCAGCTACAATTCATTGACCTTACCACTTTAGACTTCCCAGTTTACTTCGTGTACACTATTTTTCAGCAAAATCTTATATACACATATGAAAAAGGTGAATTTTGGAGGGCTGGCAAGGTGGCTCAGTGGTTAAGAGCACGTGTTGCTCTTCCAAGGATCTGGCTTCTATTTCTAGCCCCCCACATAACAGCTCACGACCATTTGTAATTCCATTTCCAGGAGATCCAGTAATTTTTCTGATATCCTTGGGCACTAGGCACACACATTCTGGGCAGATATGCTTGCTTGTAGGCAAAATATATACCTATGCACATAGAATTTTAAAAAAAAAGATGGCCTGGCAGGGATGGCATCTTTAATCCCAGCACTCGGGAAGCAGAGGCAGACGGATCTCTGTGAGTTTGAGGCCAGCCTGGTCTACAAGAGCGAGTTCCACACAGGCTTCAAAGCTACAGAGAAACCCTGTTTCGAAAAACCAAAAGAAGAAAAGGAGAAAAAAAAACAACCCAGGTTTAATGGGTGCCAGCGCTCCCAGGTAGCCTTCCAAGCCCCCCAGAGATGGAGACGGAATGGAGATGGGAAGGAAGGCTGGGAAAACCACAAAAAGAGGAAAGGAAGACCGGAAGACAAAGTGTTCATTCTCTGGGGAGCAGTTTAAATAGCCTGTGGGAATGGTATCACCCTCTCTAGGGAGGGGGCCATCATTTGGCAGTCTTTCTCAGAGGTGGAGTCTGAACTGTGGCAACTCCCAGGGGTGGGGGCCTGAAATGGAAGCCTCCACCCAAACATTTCAGACTCCTTGGACACATGGATGCCAGGGGCTGGGGTGAAGCCCCAACCCAAACATTCCAGACTCTGTGGATATAAGGATGTCAGCGGCTGGGGTGAAGTTTCCAACCAAACCCTTCCTTCCTTAAAACAAAATGACACATGGTTGTTTATCCAAAAATTAAGATGGATAGCTGGAGAGATGGCTCAATGATTAAGAGCATTGGCTGCTTTTCCAGGGAATCCAGGTTCAATTCCCAGCACCCACATGACAGCTCAGAACTGTCTGTAACTCCAGTCCTAGGGGATCTAATGTCCTCATCTGGCAGGAACCAGGCACTCACACAACGCACAGCACAGGCATAACATTCAGGCAAAACACCCATACACATTGAATACCAAAAATAAGCTTTTAAAAAAGAAATTCAAATTTAACTAGGTTTCCTTTTATTTCCTGGCAAACCTCTGGCCTGGCTGGTGAGTGTGCTGTTAGCCATGATCATAATAAGGAAAGAACTTTCTGCTCCATAGATTTTTCACTCTGTCCCCTTTACATGGTGAAAGACATATAAATACACTTTTAATCATTTGGTGCAGGGAGGGATCGTCTGTTGAATGAAGCAGACACTTCATTTGCAGCTCTTCAGTTAGTGTTTGTGTAAGGGCTAAGAGCCTGGGATTAACCATACAAAGCTATGGCTAGAAAGCCTGTTTCTCATGCATGCTAGGTTTGCTGTTCCTACTGAATGAGTAGATTCAGTTCTGTAAAGCAGTTTGAGGCCTTCACAAACGCTGAATGAGAATATTTTGTTCAAATGAAGTCATCCCCGTCTCTTTCCCTAATGGGTTACCCTATTGTTTGGCCTTTCTGGACTTGTCAGACCTCCAGGAGAGAAGCCTGCCAAACAGAGACTGGAACATTGTTATTCCAGAGGGGGCTTGAAAAACAGCTACCCTGGTTGGGTGTGGTGAAACACAAGCTTGCCCTACCTGCACTCCCGGAGGAGGCAGAGATATGAGGTCAGCCTGATCTACCCAGTGAGTTCAGGGCCAGCCAGAGCTACTAGTGAGACTCTGTCTCAGAAAGGATGAAAGGACTGGAAAAAGGAAAGAAGGAAAGAGCCCTGCTGTGCTCAGCTAGAGCACTCCACGCAGCACCCGCTGACTCTCTGCGGCACAGGATTCGGTTACCCTCATTTGAGCAGTCTGGCTATTCCAGCAATCAGATCTTTCTGTCTCCTTCCTGTTACTTGACCTTGACACTACCTATTCACGTCCTTGACTCCAGGGCTACAATCCTTTAATTTTCTTTAAACTCAAATGCCAGAGTATTGGAATTTTCCAAACGTTGGTCTGTCTTAGGACAACCGTGAAAAAGCGCATCTGCCATCGGGAGTGTCCTATAAAACGTAGCCTAGGTAGTCCCTCTAATATTTGGACACTTATTCTCTATAAGTTACAGAAGTCAGCAAGGATCTGTGGACAGGAGACAGGGCTGGGAGTTTGAACCCCCTTCTCACTGTGCTTTTAGTCTTTGCTTGCAATTAACTTGGGCAGACTGCTGAATCTTTGTCCTGCGCCAGTTTCCTCTCCCTTTTATTTGAAGAACCAGTGACAATAATGACAAGAAAAATGAACTAGTTTCCAACTTATTTTGGCTACTCTTGAAATACAGTCTTAAGGTTCTGACACAGCACACTGTGTTTCTGTGGCCCTTTACCACAAACTGGGAGAAAGGTTGTGTAAGAGAAAGGACTTGAAGATTTTCCCATTTGAAACTGAAGTCCTTGATTTTCGTTTCTGTGTGGTTTTGTTGTAGTGGTTGTTTTGTTTCATTTTGGCAATGTGGAGATGGAATCCAGGGCCTCATTCACACATGCGAGGCAAGTAAGCTTTATGCTCAGCTGAATTTTTCCTGTGTGGGTGCTTGTGTGTGTGTGTGTGCAGGAGCACATTGGTGTGCATGTGAAGGCCAAGGTCAAGCTCACGA